TGGCTTCACTATTGACATCCAAATAGTGGGCAACTCTCTCGATTTCTTCATTTAGACGTATCTCTGCCTTTTTTAGATAGTCCCCACAATCACAGAACTCAATAAATCTCTGAGATTCAACCTTATAAAACTCCGCAGAAACCTCAAGAAATGGCTTCTCAAAATCCTCCTGGTAAACAGAAGAACCCAAATCCATGAGCATCTTGATTATATTCCTCATCAAACCCCGGTCTATAACTTCACCAGTTCGCTCTCTGTGCACTAATTCAAGAAGCGTGCTCTGAAGCCTTGACTGTATTTTGCCTGAATGTATGATATTATCCCTCCACAAGTTAAGCCCAAGCTCATGAACAGGGGTTTTACGTGTATTTGGAATATAAGTCCGGTCCATGTACATCAATATGTCTCGAATCATTTGCAGTGCCTTGTTGTGGTCATTCCATTTCCTGTTCAACTCTTCGAGAAAAAAATCACCTTGAGCAACTTCTATAAATTTTGATATTTCTTTGAGGTGTGCGGTCATAGTTGTAACAAGTCCGGAGTAAAGCTTCTCACCAAATTTGTGCAAAACCATATTGTATGCATTCCTAAATTCATATAAAAAAAAGTCAACATCATAAAGAAAATACCCAAAATTTAATCAGCTGCTGTGAAATTTACTTAGGTGCCAAAGAGAGAGATCTCACTCTTTCAAGCACATACAGAAGTTCAGCACAGATGCAAACTTCCTCTATAAGCAACTATGGGAAATTAAGATACAAATATCTTAACTTACCCTCAACTATATTTGAATTACAACTTGGCGAAATATTTTCTAAAGCAGGCAACAAAAGAACAAAATATTCAACTATCATTTGCTTGCTATAAAATACAAGGGGAACAAAGAAATCGTAATAGTCATTTGTTACTTGCCACATGAAGCATAATACCAAAGAAAGCTAGTCGCTACTTGCTCTTTGCAATCAAACACCATATCAATAATAGTCATTTGCATGCATGCAAAGGCAAGAGCAATGAAGAAAGAAGTATAAATACAAGAACAAGAAGAAGAAAAGTCGATTGCAACTCAAAACTAAAGGCAAGGGGACGAAGAAAGAAGCATAAATACCACAAATGAAAGCCAGTTATTACTCAAAATTCCATATCAATATTGAGTTTATAATAAAAAAAGACATTTCATGCTTTCACTGCAAGCAATATAAGAATCTTTCTTCACCTTCTCCCATCTAGTTTTGTTCTTATCATTTTTTTTTGGGGTGAAGTTTCAGAGACATAAGATCATCCAGGAACGGGCAATCCTATTGTTCCCAAAATGGAAGTTACTAAAACAACACCTAGAATTGTTTAATTAAATCCCTTCACGCTGATTACCTTCACAGTAGTCTCTAAAAAGTATTTTCAACAACTTCGTAACCTAAATCAATATACAACATAATCTATCAGATGAGAAACTCTTCACGGTTTCAAAAAAAATTATGAAATGCTTTTCAATAACTCAAATAATCAAATTCATAGCAATAAGCGACTAAATTGGAACATCAAATTACATAAATTAAAAAAAAAGAAGCAGAAACAGAAACCTGTAAAGCTCCTCGAAACTGAGGCCACTGGCATTATGATTGTAAATCTCATGGATTGCATGTTCGAGAATTTTCCATGTCTTTTCAGCATATTTCGGATCCACCACGACCCGGTGCTTGAACGCTTCTATCTGGAAATTCGTTTTCTTTTGATTACTCATTTCTTTCCCTACCTTCCTTGTTCACTTCAAACCCCAAATCTAATCCGAATGAAAACCCGCCCAGAATAAACCGATTTAACCCCTAATAAAAACAGAGGGCCAAAAAAAAGGATCTACAAAACGTCTGATTAACAATAAAAAAACTATTGGCCGATAAATTTCGCGTCCGGACAGTGGCGCGAGGGTAGCCGATTAGGGTTTATTAAAAATGGTAATATTTATTTCAATTACAAATGATTATATATATATATATAAATATGCAAATATACAGATTTTAACAGTAATGCCCTAAAATGAATGTAACTAATAAACAGATAATTAGGAATAAATTATAGTTATAATTAAAAACTAATTATTATTAATTTGGGATACAGAGACGAAGAGGCATAGGGACAGATAAAGAATACTTCGCCCTCTTCGGTTGGGTTTTGGATACCCTTCGGGGAGAGATGATGGAGAAACAGATGAAGCATCTACGAAACACATTATTAAAATATCATTTTTGTTTTTATATCTGTAAAGTTTGAATAAATATGTTACCAAAAAAATTATTGAAATTTTATTTTCTCTCAAATGGAATTAAAGCTAATCGTTTTGGCAATTTTTTTAAAAATAATATGATAGTTATATGATTAGCTGCTAATAGTATTTGAAAGTATTATATCCGAAAATTTATAAACATAAAATATAGTAGATGAAATAGGTAAAAGCAAATTGAGATAAGTTGTGAGCATGTCTGCTGAAAATGGGATACCAATTACCGGAAATCTTTGATGATCCCGAAGATGTTGACGAGTTTGAGCGAGGTGGAAACCAACATTAGATAGATCAATCTGCGATGACGTCAAATAATTTCCTGGTTTTATTATTTAAAAAATAATTTATTTCAAACGTGAGTAATTACGTCATATGTCTAATAAAATTGAAATATTTAAAAGTTTAAGGATTAATTTAGAATGTAGTCATAATTTAAAGATTAAATTAAAATATTTAAAATATCAGGATTATTATCTCTTATTTTTTTATTTTAATCATTTAATTTGAAAATTTTTTTTTATAAGTCTTGGTGAATTTTATTAAAAGCTCTCAACCTTTTGATAATAAACTCTCGTACTTTTGTATAAGCGATTCTCAAATTTAATATATCAAGGGATCACAAATCGCTTAATTATTGAGATCGTTTGATTCGTACATTTGAAAAGTTATATATTAATCAACTATGTTGTTTATTATTTATAAAATAATCATTAATGTATTTGTTTTTACTAACTTATTTATTATCGGATATCTAATTTGATAATCAGAAGAAAAAGATACTAAGAACAAATTTTTTCATTTCCACTGATAGTCAAAATCCTATTCCAATCAAAACTTTTACCCCTAATTATAAAATGACATAGTTGTTTCAACAACCCTTAAGTAAGCCCTAAACAACAACGTAATACAAAGATTTTAAACACAATAACAATTTTCAAAATGATGATGCTCAGTAAAATAAATAAACCTAATATACACATGCTCGTAAGAATTTTTGTCTTCGATAACTAAATAAATAACCATATTTTTATCAATCGTATATAACACTTAAATCATTCTTCCAAATAAAACCTTCATAATTCAGTCTCACTTTTCTAATTTTATATATGTTCTCTTCACAATCCAAAAACTCCTCCTAATCTCCATTTGTATCTCAACCCTCCATTAACTATGGTATATTTGAGATTTAATGCAGCTATGTTCGGGGATATGCTCGGAGATTAATCGAAAAGTGGAGTGATTGTCCTTAAAATTTTCAAATTTTGATATATTAAGATATTTTCTTTGTATTTTTTATTGAAAGTCTATTTCCGTCCCATAAAATTTTATAAATACGTATTTCCTTAAGATTTTACAAATTCACCCATCAACATAAAATCATGTATCACTCTGAATATAATTATGGTACATGTAAATTATCAAAAGTGGAATACAATAACACTTCTAATTACCTAGCAATTTGAAAGGTTTATAATCAAATTATGAGGTTGAAAACAGATTCATATATAGGCTAATATCTTATTTTATTTTACTAACAAAAATGTTAAGAGCATATTTATCCAACAACTGAACTTGGTGTGTGTATCATGTATTTATACGTATTTTTCTTATAATTTATTATTCATCACAATTAAGTCCAAAGTTATCACTCAATTATATATCTCAAAATCAATAAAATTTAAAACCTCAAATAAATCATTCAAAATATTTAATTTAAAAATCTTAAAACCACACAACCCTAGAATCACAAATCAACAACATAAATTAAACTTGAAAACAAAAAAATTAATAAAGATATGTTTTTGTAAAATACATCTTCATATTTTCTGATCAATTATATTATATAAATGTAAGACACGATATATAAATATACTTTATGAAATATATATTTGATAACATAAATGGTTTAGAATGATATTAGATGCTTGGAAATTGTGTTTTGGATCAAATTGGAACTTTGTTGGGTTTTAAGGACTATTTTGTATGGTTTAAAAAGTGAAGGATTAATAGGCAATTGTTTGAAAACTAAAGTACCATGCTATAAATTATGGTTGGATTGATGAAATTTTGCATCTAGATTAACATGGAATGTTGTATTGGGTTGCTTTAGAATTCAAATAAATCTTAGGGATCAAGTTGCAATTTTTGGAAAGGTTAGTGATGAAATAAGAATTTGACAATGTTGAAGTATTGTTTGAAAGTATTGTGAAATTGGTTAAATGAGATGGTTGATTTGGATTAAGTGATCACCAAATGATTAATTTAAATGTGATGGATATTATTTTAATTATATTAGTTGACTTTTAAAAGAAACAATTTTTTTCAATTTTCGAACATTATTTGTTTTGTATGATTAACGTGACATATTTAACTCGTATATGAATAGATATATGAGTTAAGAGTGTTACAAACTCGACATCACGTAAAACAAAAAAGATTATTTTTATTTAATTGTTAACTGGCAAAGTGGTCAACAAATCTTTAGAATGTATTATAATTATAAATAAAAAATGATACATACCATTAGTAAAGCATAAATTACAAGTGATTAATCAAACTAACGAGTTTATTTCAGAGTACGACGTCGTCTGTTTTATGGGCTCGTTATTTCAACTAAAGTCCCTCTTTCCCTCTTTTACCCTTACCATTAAGCTTAAATTCCAAGCTGGGATGGCGTAATTTAAACGCTTTTCCCAAACACTCATTTATAAAAGCACCATAAAAAAATCCCGCGCCCTCTACAAAATTCTCCGCGGAAAAATACCAGACCCTATTGGTATTCGCCTCTTCTCTCACTGAAACTTTGCTCTTCGCCCATTAACTTTTATTGAATATTTTGAGTAAAAATGTCGGCAGATTTTGTATCTGAAAGGCCTGTGTTTGGTGGAGCAATCTCAACTTCTTTTCCTCTTAGGTTTCAGGTAACTTTCTTCTTCATTTAATTTCATGTTTTTATAACAATTTATAACTAATTCCTCGTTTTTTACATTGTTCATTATTGTAGGATGTTAGTAACGTCAGACAAGTTCCCGATCATCAGGTTGGTTCACCGTTCTCCGTTATTTTTTGGTGCTATTTATTGTTAATTTGTTTATTTATCTGATTGTGAATTAAAGGAGGTGTTTGTGGACCCTGCCCGTGATGAGAGCTTAATCTTTGAGTTACTAGATTACAAGCATGAAGTTGGTGATGATGGTAGCGCTGTCTGGTTTCTTCGTGATCTTTCCATTGAACAAGACGGTGAAGGATTCGCGGTAATCTTCTCTGCTGTCTTATGGTAGTTTATCGATTCTATTGTGGCTAGTAAATTGTAATTTGAAGCAATTATGTATTTGAACTAGTTTCGTCATGGTTCTCTATTTTATGTTTGTTTTGATTTTACAGACTTTAGAATTTTTAAAATGAAGAAGCGCCTATAATCCAATTCGTTGGTTTATGGCACTATTATGTAGCTATTAGTACGACCTTCGAACTTCTATATATTTTCTCGTTTAGAAGTAGTGAGATGTCTAGTTTGTGTTAGTTCTCCTATATCTCTCAACATTTTTAACTTGTTCTGATTTCCTGTATTACACTTATAATTACTGTTATTTTATTTTTAGATTATGGGATATATCCTACAAAAGAAAATGATTGGTTCTGCCTACATGGCTATACCATTGTTAAAGTTGCTAAAATAATTATGATAATTATGATACTGTTCTTTATGCATTGGTGTGGTTCTGTTTCTTACTTCCCCGGGAGCAGTTGATGTTGAAGACATCCAGAAAATTGTTTTCGCACATTACATGCTTTTCTTTGCTTGGCAACTGCTGGAGACTTGATATGGTTGTAGGCCTTACATTTCCTCTGTTGCTATATGTTTCAGTTGCTTGAGCAGTCAACAGTGGTCGAGGCTCCTGGATTGTGTTACAAAAACATTCCAGCCATTGTTACAACTGCAGTTGGCCAAATGGTATGAGTCATTTAGAAGGGATATGCCTAGAGTTTCAATCTTACTAGTTTCAACTTTCACTTTCTGCTGTCTAGAGATCTTTTCCTTACTGAACTTTGTGCTCTTCCTTGAGTCTTGAAGTTTCTTACACTTAGCTTTCTATTATCTTATTTTACATGCTAGGTACAACAACCTTCAAATTCTGCCTGATGGTGTCAGATTGTACACTATGTGTTCTGTTATTTTTTCTAGTAGGACTTGATGAAAATGTGAATTTATGGCTTTTCTAGTGAAAGGCATTTTAAGCATGAGACTTATTGATGTGATCAATAATGCGATCCTTCCGTTGTATTTTTTAGTATATGTATGCATGCGCTGGGGTAAAAGCTACAATCTAGGTTGATTTGTTAAAACTTAGGCGTTTTTTAAGTTAAAACAGAGTAGATGCATATCTGACACTTGGTAAATATATCGTCTTTATAGCATGTGTTGATTGTTGTCTTTTATCCGTTACTAGTTGGACTGTTTTATTATGAGCATTTTTTCTTTTACATAAATGGTCAAATTGAAGATTTTTCTGTACTAATGCTTCACCTTAGCCCTCTCCTTTCATTATCCCCTATCTGTCTCTCATATCTTTTAATATCTTCTATGATTAATTTTCTTATTTATTCATAGGCTGTTTCAAAGGGACGGCAAGGAAGAGAAGCGCAAAATATTATCAAGGTAACAACTTTTTATGTGTTTTCAGCTTTCACAGGTTCAGTTATTCTAAATTGATAACCTGTTTCTTAATGAATGTCCATGAAGGTCTATCTTGCAAACATACGTCTTAAGGAAGTAGGAACAGATGTTCTAATCACTGCATATGAACCCATCTTGATAAAGTAAGTGTCAAAGCTTCACTGCTGCTGTTCTTTCTCAATAGGAAAAGAAAGAAATATCATTTCATTGCCTTTCTGTCATTTGAGACTCTGAAAGAAAATATGATATTAAAAATCTGTCTCAGTAGCCATATCTCTTTTACTCAACATTTCACTTCCTCTTTGACTACGGAATTATTCCATCGATTTTGTATAACACCGTTGCCATTACATATTATGCTGGCAGTCCTTTGAGCGAAAGTGCTAGTGCAGTTGGTGCAGGATTAGCTACCCCCGCTATGCAATCTGGATTTATGCCGATGGTCGAAATCTTTAAGCTAGCCGTTTCAAACTTCAAAGTAAATGACTGGGGCCTTTTTGGCCCTACCAATTGAGATGTGCTAAAGGCCTGTAAATGGCAGGTAAAGAAGTCCCTTTTTCTCTCATGAAACAAAACGCCGACGTTTATATGCCTTGGCTGTTCTTTGATATGGACGTCGGTATCCCTGTTTAGAAACTGTAAACCTTTATACGTGCGTGTCATGTATTGATTTTTTTTTTATCTTTGGGCTGTGGTTTTCTTTCAATAGTGATTTTGAAAAGATATATAATAATAAGTTTGAAATGACTCATCACATCAAATCATACATTTTCCTTGGTGCCAGGTATAAATTGCTCGAGTGTTTGTTTTCAATAAACGATTGCTTCAATATCAATCATTGGCCACATACACAAACTTTTGTCCCCTTGAAAACAACGCTTTTACCCAAACCTTTTCTGAAAAAAAATCCGACTCATTATTGACTCTGTATTTATGACATTGTTTCCCTAAAATCACCGGCCGACTTCCATATTTGCCTTTTCAATAGAGGTAACCATGGATGGCCTTTATTTCAATTTTGGATGTGTAACTTATATCTTTGAGACAATTTTATTTGGAATTTACCCGAATAAAGTTCTTCAAGGAAAAGAAAAATAATAGTACTTTGTATATAGCTGAAGTTGGGAAATTTTGAATGGCATTCCTAAATCAATCTATGGTCAATCACGTGACACTCACCTATTTTGGAATTTATGTGAAATTTAGAGGCGGAGTGGACTGAATATTGGTGTATATGATTTTCTATAGATGCATGACACATTAAGATATGAGTCATTCATAATGAATCTTCATAACATTTTATATCTGAATTAGTTGATTTAGATACTAGTAATCTAGACTCTTAGCCAAGGTGCCTAAGCTAGCCCCCAATTACATTCATTCACACATACCATAAAAGCAGCAGGTGGCTGACGAGTCATGCTCGATGTGACCCAACTTTAGAGCTGGGTATACGAGCTTAAACGGAATGGTTTAAAAAAACGGTCTTGAATTCTAAGGTCGCGGGCTAATGGGTTTACCCGTGACCCGTTAAATAATAACAATTTTAAATACTTTAAATGCAATAATAAATAATGTTCTAATTTACTACACCTTTAAAAAATGATCCAGCAACTTGAAAATGAAGGTAACAACAACAAAATAGAAGTCTCAATATAAGTTATATAACACGATCCACATTAAATGGTTGTATTTTCAGCAGCAAACACGATCCACATTAAATGGCTGTATTTTCAGCAGCAAACGTAGTAATATATTCACTTTCATTCGTTGCTCCTGGTCACACGAGTAATTTATTCACATGAGGAGTGGGCTCTTTATTCATTCTCAAGGAGGAGACACAAGTGTCGATAGTGGTTCGTGTGGAGGAGCCGCGACGTTGGTTCAGGTTCGTGGCGAGGAGATCCAACGCTGGTTCGAATCGACGATGTTGCGCTGCTGGTTCGTGAGAGACTGAGAGTGAGAGTGTGAATTGTTTGGGGTCTTCCTTCAGTTGATTGCTTTAGTGTGAATTGAGAACTTTTACTCGTAGGGTTTCGAAATGTGAATGGGGTTGTGGGCATTTGAGCTTCATACTTCAAAATTGCATATCATCAAATTAAAAAGTGAATTGAGCTTCAGACTTCAGTGCACATAAAACGTGAAGTGAGCTATGACTAAAATGCACATAAAACGTGAATTGGACTAAACGTGAATTGTCTTCCGTAAAATATAAAATAAACTGAAAATAAATAAATAAATTAAACGAGAAACTCATAATTTAAACGAACTTTATTTTTTGAGGCTCAAAACCCGCACGAGCCACAGGTTATACGGGTAGCCCGTGAGCCTTAGTCCATATACCCAGCTCTATCCAACTCGGTGGTTTTTATATACTTTTTTCTTTTTTTGTTTTGTCGGTTGTGTTGATGATATAAGCCTTGAGATTTTGGAGGGAAGAATAGGGGGTGGCTGTGGTGCCACGTGTTAAGATGTATATGTGGATCTAACTGTCGAGAGTGACATGGCACTGTCAGCCCACCCACCAACTTCGCCAGAGGGACTAGAGGACATTGCATTATGTGAGCTGAACTGTTGGATCCCCTCTATTCATCTATCTAATAACACGCACAAATATCTAGTACTTTATATGAACGACAATTGTTGAAATTCATATATTTCTAAATTTTCGAGTTTTTTAAAACTTACAAGATGTGAGTTATTAATATTGATTTATCTTATAAATAATTGTTTAAGTTGGATACTAAGATATTTTAGAATTTAAATTCAATTTTTATAAAAGTTGCATATATATAACTTGTAGGGGTCCTTAACACATTGAAATTAACCTTAGTAATAAAAATTGAGTAAAATGAGATCAATTTGATTTAACTAAAATTTTCAATTACATAATGTATAATACATACAATAACACTATGAAACTCACTTTATTTAGAGGAACATGTATACTTTTATTTTATTGAATTAAATAAATATTTTAAGAAATATGTTTATAGTTATAGAAAATAATTGGAATGGACTTGAAGGATTTAAGACTTGTAATCAGTTAAAATAACAATGAAATTTAAAAAGTCTATAAATAGAGATAGAAAGTTATCGTTGGACCTTTGTCATGGAATTTCTTATTCGTGGATTTTTTTTTAATAATTAGATTGATTTGTTTGAATGCAAACAATATTGTGGTGTTGATATGGAGAATGCCATGGTCAACAGGCCAAGGGGCATAAAGATCAGATAAAATGACCCTCTTTGCTAATTTAATTTCTTCATTTTTTTCCCAATAAAATTCAATGTTACACCAAACCCATTAATTCCCGTCCTTTGTCCGCTTTCACTGATTCAAATCATATCAAACTGATAAACTCGAATTTAAATTTAGCTTATCTCTTAGTAACATTTTAATTTTTGTTTTTTCAATAGATATTTAATTTATTGATCAATAAATATATATAAAGTATTATATACTTTTTATTAAGAGAGTGATTATTCAGATCTATTTACTTTATTCACAATTTAAATCCTTAATTTTATTTAAAAAATTTAATATTTTAATTCATTAATTGAATTTATTGTTATTTTTTTTATGTTTTCAATTGATATTTTGTGGCATGCCCGACAGCAGCACCAAGGAAGTCCTAAGGCCGGTCTTGTAAAGTAAAAAAAATTATAGATTTTTTCATTAATTTAAAATAAGTATAAGATAATATATGTTTAAAGATAACTCTTAATTATTAGTTATTGAACCTTGTTCAAATAATAATGTCAAAAACACACTTATTTGCATTTGATTTTTCAAACATGAAAGATTTCTCTATAATTTTGGTTGACTTGTCAATTGACTTTTTGGACTGCAAATCTCTAGTCTCTAAAGTGTCAGAGGCGTTTCATCAAACATAAATTTCCATCAAACTTAAAATTTTATAATTTAATATGAAGTCAACGGTCTTGACCAAAGCACAAAGAAAAACAAAACATTAAATCACATAGCAATAATAATAAAAAATATCTCTACATTTTACTATATATTATCAATTTTACTATCATTTCTTTGAGCATATACTATAAACTAGTAACGACTGTGGTGGTCCAAATTACCTTAATATAAGAACTAATTGAGTAGTTTCAGTTATTAAAAGGGGTGTTATTCTTCTTTGAGGTATTAAGTCCGAACAGTTATATTTGAAGAGTTTATTGTTAATAATTAAAAAATTTACAAATATATATTATATTGTAATCATCACGTATTTTCGTGGACGAAATGACAACGTTATACTGTGTGTTTTTGGATCTAAATCGCAAAGTTTTATAGTAAAACAATGACTAAATCAAAGTTAGATTCTTGGTTTAAGGGTCATAGTCCAAATAAGAAGCAGTGAGTAGTGGGAGTTTTAGAGGGAAATGAATGATAAGAGTTCGTTGTTGCTATGTGTTGGTTTTGGCAATGTGCTTGTTTTTTTGTCCCCTTTTAAGCTACACTTTGGCCTGTTACCCACATGGGTTAGACGTGCTTCTCTCACTCCTGCTTTATGGATGGTAAGGCTAAACAGTGATGGTGATGGATCCAAAAGTCTTTTGTAGGATAGATACACATATGTTAATAATATAAAATCTTTGAATCTCTAATGAATATTATCAAAAAAATATATAATTAACGGGAAAAATTAAATTTTAGGATCAACATATGTTCATCCTCATATAATTGTGGTTCCATCATTTGATGTAAATATGTTTCTCAAAATATACACATATATGCATATTACACTATCGGAATAGTAGAAATTGATTACAAATGTAAATCATAACATCATCATATGCCGATCAGAACGGTAAAAAAGTTGTCAGGTCAAGATTGAGATATGCATATCATTCATTTAGCTAACTCTATAGCGAATTTTAATGTGCAGAAATATGGATTTGTGCACATCTAATCCTCCTCCGGATCGGGAATTGCATGTTTTATACGACGATATGATTAGTGATTATGGTCTACGAATCTCTTAATATATCCTTTTTACTATTTGTAATAAAAAAAATCAAATATAGATCCAAAAAAGAAGGATTATTATTTACTTTACTACTAATAATTTATAAAACTATACACCTTTAGCTAGGGACGAAGGTACATGAGAGTGGGAGGGATTGTTGCCCTTCTTAAATTTTCTGGTCCAATGTCCTTTTAGATCTCTATCAATTTAAACTTCAATAAATTCAGATTTTTATTTATTTTACTTTTTAGATTAAATATCTAATAAGTCTATATTATTTTAAACTTAATTAATTTTCCCCTTCTTGAACACAAGATTTATACCATTGATGCTACTCATACACAACTTTAAAGTAAAATAAGTTAGAAACCCATTTATGGATATATGAGCTTTTTAAACAATATTTATAAAGACCAGATATGTTTATTGCATATATATATATATATATATATATATATATATATATATATATATATATATATATATATATATATATATATGAGTGTTACAGACAGTATGGTTCACATGTTCAAAAGATGGAGAC